CCCCCCCCATTTCTTTATGTTCGTTTAAAAGCATTTGTTGTATTTTGAGCAGAGTTAAATGAGGCGCAAGGCCACAGTTGGGGGACGGACCTTTAAGCCTTGGACTTTAGGGGAGATACAGAGGCGTCCTTTGGGGTTGGAAATAATACATAATTGAGCAGATGCGAATGAAAACATGGCATGTAGAAGAGAAGAGGGGCCCAGGCGCCTGTTTGGAAGTTTTGTGGAGGAGAGTACATTGCCCTTGATTACAATAATGTTTCTGCACTATAATAAGGTCTTTCACTGCGACTGCAGCTCTTTCATTCACTTGTTTTGTGCTCCACTTCCTGTTACTAATTGTCAGCACAATAGTCTTCCAGCGATGAAGTCTCAGTGTCCTTTCCGACCAATTTGTCATTGTCTCTCTCCCTCACCCCCCAAGCCACGCTCTCAGAATCTATTACCACGGTTGCATTTTTAGACATTTTCTGTGTTTGAAAATGGCAACGCTTTTGAAATACGCCAGAATAGTTCATGATAATTGAACCATCCAACCAGCAAGAGTTTTTGCTTCCAAAAGCACACTGATAAGGCTTCTCCCTCTATAGGATACTCTTAGAAAGGAATTAAAAATAAACGCATAATACTCCCTTTATAGCATTATTTCTCATGCAGTTTCCTTTGAGAGTTTCATAGTCGGCCTGTGGAAGTAGGGCATTTGGTTAAAATATTTGTGTTAGCCTGTATTATTTACAGATTGACGGTTTACGTCACCAGTTTGTTGGAAATCTGTGCCTTTTGGAAGTTACATTTTTCCTACTGATGGGTATTTTTATAGATAATTTTATTACGACTAGGGAAGCAACCTCTTAGATTGACAAGCCTGAGCAAGTTCTCATATCAGCCTCCAGGCAGCTGGCGTCACATGTTAATTCACGNTTTACAGATTGACGGTTTACGTCACCAGTTTGTTGGAAATCTGTGCCTTTCGGAAGTTACATTTTTCCTACTAATGGGTATTTTGNTTATTTACAGATTGACGGTTTACGTCACCAGTTTGTTGGAAATCTGTGCCTTTTGGAAGTTACATTTTTCCTACTGATGGGTATTTTTATAGATAATTTTATTACGACTAGGGAAGCAACCTCTTAGATTGACAAGCCTGAGCAAGTTCTCATATCAGCCTCCAGGCAGCTGGCGTCACATGTTAATTCACGTTAGGTTTTTAACACTTTATTATTATTTAATATTTATTTAATAAATATTTAATATTTATTAAATATTTAATATTTATTAATATTTTAATAAATAGTTCACATGTTCTCTCAACCTTGTACCACTGATCTAATATTGACAGAAAGATTTTTTTCCAATGTGTTTCCCATAAATAAATCCTGAAACAGTATTACGCTATAATAGCTCACCTATCACCTAGAATTTCCCCTGTTAATCATATGATCAAGGTGTATTGTTATTTTTAAATGTAATATTCTCACAATAGGTGTCCTGTATCGCCACCCCCATTTCAGGTATACTCACTTATTAAAGAGATCAGACTGTCTGTCCTAGAGCAGGCCACTCTTTTGGAATTCTCTGATGATTGTTTCTCCGATATCGTTCAACTTTTCCTGTACCTCTGTATGTCCTGTCACGTGGAAGTTAGATCTAAAGATTCCATTTGATTCATGTTTGGTATCGCTGTCAAAACTATGACTCTATCTACTTCTTATTCCATTGTGATGGGAGGCACCTCCTATTCGGTCCTGTCAGTGTTTGCTGGTTTCCAGGGGTGAAAGCGTGATCTCCATTATGAAGTTAAGTTTCCCCCCTGGTGGCTGGCACGTGATCCCTGGGTTGACACCGTGGCACCAGCCAGTGTTCAGGTCCTCATCAGTCGCTTACCTAATGATTGTAGCTTCCATTGAGGATCCTTTGCCTGAATCAGTTATTTTATTAGGTGTAGGTGATCTTTTAGCTTATTTGAAAATGTAGGGTTAGTTAGTCCGCACAAATTCATTACTAGATTTGGCTAATGTTAGTTATATATTCTTCCATTATGTTTGTTTATTTATTTATTTGAAACCTGCTCTGTTGAGGCACAGTACTAAGTAATCCGATAATAGGAACCTTGCCCTCAGGGAATTCGCAGTCTAATATACATTCTTGTTGGAGCATTTAAAAATTTCATCATGAATTCCAGTTTCATCATACTTCAAATATAAATTAGTTTTTCTTAGTTAAAACAAAATCGTGTTCATGATTATTTCTTAGATTTAATAGTAAGCTATGGTTAGATCTCAACCCTTTTACATCTGGGTAATTGTTTCTTGGATGGTGGTTGTTAATAAGCTGCTTCCTCAGGCGTGTGAGTATGGAGGGGCCCTGTGTCGCTCTGAAACATGATGTAGATCTTTATTTAGCGAAATGAAAAATATTCCCAACCTAGTAAATGAGCAAAGCACTTATGCAATATATTCCATATGTTAAGTCTCACATTTCAAACATGCTTACAAAAGAGCTGAAATCTACATGAAAACATTAACAATGGCTGTTACCTGAGTTTATTTTAGGCCTATTTGTGAATTTTCCTACAGTAGGCATGGGTGATGTGAGTGTCTGCAGTCAGCATAGATGATTTCAGTATGATTTTGTACAGTGAGAGTAAAGGAAGAAATACGTTTAAAAGCTAACTTGCCTCCACAACAGTGCGAATGTACGTAATGCCATAGAACTGTGCACTTTAAAATGGTTAAAATGGTAAATTTCGTGTTACGTGGTTCTTTTTTAAGCCACACACACGCACAAAAAATAGCTCATGGCTATTATACTGCAAAAAAAACCCCACCAAAAAGCAGCTCTCCAAATCATACATTTTGAGTCCATCTATTTAGATGTTTGCATGACTCTCATAACTCTGTTGCAAGGGCTCATTCATTGTCATATTTATTATCTCACAGTGACCACAGTGTATTTTCCATTAAAACTTGAAGTATGCAGAGGAAATGTAGAGAACAGTTGCTCTAGAAGACTTTTGAGATGTTTGTTTAATTGGAGGTAGGATTTTGTGGACAGACAGGATGGAGAAACGCCGATGGGGAAGATGTTGGCCCTGAAATGTACTTTTGGTAAATGGTGTCGACCATACTTGTTAAAGAAGATGTATTAGGAGAGGTTCACATTAACGGGTGGTGATTTCAGAGTCAAGTTAAATCCACAAATAGTATCCGTGCTAAAACCGGAGTAGTCCAGCTTATAGTGAAAATGCCAGACCCTGAAGCGTGTACCGTAAGGTGAGAGGCATCTTTTCGAGTGGAGGGTGACCCAGGAGCCCAGGCTTAACTCCCCTCGCTCAGGAATGTTTATGCTGTGAAATAACATGTAAGAACTTATTTGTTCTCTCCCTTGTTTCCTTTTGTGGAGAGAAGGGTATTTTGACCCTGGTTCAGGCACAAAGAGCTGGAAACCTGGAGCTGGGTCGATGCAAGTTTGAGAATCACTTTTCCATCGTTAGCGATAGAGAATTTTTATTACCATTGGCTTAGTTGCTGTCACAGGGTGTGAGACCCAGCAGGGAAAGGACCCAAGGGCCCTGCTAACCCCTTCCCACCACCTTTCCCTCCGCTCCCCGTTCTAAACCACTGCCCCCCCTCCCAGAAACAACGAGTGCCACACCAGGACCAACCCAAGACAAATTTTCCATTTTTGTTTTAATTTCGTTTTTGTGTTTTAACATACTGATTTAGAATGTGAATTTTTTCATTATATATATAAAAAGAATAGTACAATGTGATTGATGACTTGGTCCAATAAAGACAGAGAAATGGTCGTTGATAGTTGCTAATAATGGACATAGGACAAAAAAGACAAGCGCTGAGAAAACACCACTGAATTTTTCAACCAGGAGTAAATGATTTCCTTTCAAAAGAGCAGCATCAGTCCGGCCGGTGTGGCTCAGCTGGTTGAGTGTGGTCCCAGGCACCAGGAGGTTGCCGATTGTGTTCCCGGTCAGGGCACATGCCCGGGTTGCTGGCCTGATCCCCAGTAGGAGGTGCGCAGGAGGCAGGCGATGATCTCATGGATGTTTCTCTCTCTCCCTCTCCACTCCCCTCTCTGAGATCAATAAAAACATTTTTTTTTTTTTTTAAAAGAGCAGTACCAGTAGACAAGCCTACTGTACTTTCTCTTGTCCAATGCCACATCTCCTTCAAAGTCCAGTCCTGATAAATAGCTAATAGCTGACATTATTGAAAACTTACTGCGTCACACGTTATGCTAGGTATTCCATCGATTTATCATTAAACCCCATACCAGTTTTATGGTGCCGGTACTCTCATTATTTCTCAGTGCTCGAAGACCAGAGGGGTTCATTAACTTGTAAGGTTGCACTGTTCATGGTCGGTGAAAAAATCGAATCCAGACACGCTGGTGTTGGATTCCACGCTTGCGGCCACTACACTATGGTCGTCTTCTTTCCTAGACATTCCCTGACAGAACTGACCACCTTTTGACTGACTGGCTCTAGGGGCTGTGATTATTAGGAGTTCTAGGCGGTGTGTACTATCAAAAGGCTTATAATCTGGGTAGAGAGTTAAGGATCCCTTCCTAAAATGATAGAGGATAATATAAGGTAGTCTGTGCTAAGTGGAAAGTGTGGGGCACAGGGGCAAGTTACGAGAATGTGGGGGCGTGTGCAGGAATGGTCAGCCTAGGGCCAGGATGTTACTAAAGCTTCATGGAGGGAGTAGGCTTTGATCTGGACCTTAAAGAACAGGCGTTCTTTTGACTTTGGTAGTTGCTTATGGATCAGGGTCAAATAAATGGCCAGCATTCCAGACAGCAAAGGTATTGATACAGGAAAGCGCAGCAAGCTGTGCTTGGGAAGGTTATGTGTAGCCCATAGGAGGCCGTGAGGTCGCAGTGGTTGTGTTTAGAATCGAACTCTGTTGTTTATTTCTTGGTTTGAATATAAGCATATTCAAAGAGACATTTTATTTTATTACTAGAATGCCAGTTAATGAAAACAGAACGACCAAAGCCAAACACATTTATTATCCGATGTCTCCAGTGGACCACTGTTATAGAGCGAACATTTCATGTAGATACTCCAGAGGAAAGGTAAGAAAGTCATCTTTTTTTCCCATTTTGTGAAAAAACCATGGTCAATCTAAAAACCTATGTGTGTCTGACCCCATGTGTAAATATATGTAAATACGTTTGTAAAATGCTGCTGTCCCTTAATTATTACTATTCCGATATACCAGACGAATAACTTATAAAATACTAAGTCAGAACATCTAGAAGTTCTGTAAAATATACTCCTTAAGAGAAAACAACATTGGAAAGTTAAAAGATAATAAATTAAGACATTTTTGTAACCAAGCTACCTCTTTTAAAAGCATTGTAGAATTAATCGTGTTTGTCTGTAGAGTTCTGAGGCCAGAGGTAGCAAAAGGCTTCAGGTGGCCTGGCGCGGTGCAGGTGGCCGCCCCGAGTGCTGTTGAGAAGGCTGCTGAGGCCGGGCCTGAGCTCAGCGGGAAGAAACGTGCCAGGCTCGGTTGGCACTGGCTGCCATCCTTGCTGAAGAGGGGCTTGGCAGCACGTGTCCAGCCAGCTCACCAGCTTGCTCCTCCTGATCGGCTAACCCTGGAACCCGCCCCCCGCTTCTCTTCAGCACCCTCCCACCTGGTGGCCCCGGCACTGACCTAGGCCCAGCATCCGCCCCCACCAATTCAGTTCCCTGCATGTATGTTACCATATTTGATTCAGATCAGCTCTGTGAAGTTCAACGTTTCTAGCCTATTTTCCAGATGAATGCATAAATTAGTTCTTAAGAAACTCGTGTGATTAAAAATTAAACCTCCCCCACAAAACGTAGTAAATAGTACAGTAGTATTTTAATAATACTTCTCTGATCAGTAAGCAATAAATGATCATGTATGATTACTTCAGAAAACAGAGAGAAGAAAGAAAAATAGGAAAGAACTAGAAAATTCTCATGTTTCTGATTCTATAGCCAGAGTTAAGGACTGATTTTTTATTTATATACTTCCACCTTTATTCTGTGAGATGTATTTAGGTCCTCGGTACTCACACAGCTTTATGTGTCCTGCCTCCACATCTTCCCTGGGCATTTCTCTCCGCTGAGTCCTCAGTTTGCTTATATCTTAACCCATAACTATGGTTGGGGTAATTCCTATGGATATTTCAGATCTGAGCTTAAAATATCACATTTCCTACAAAACCTCTGACTCTTCTAAACTATATACTTAGCTCTCTCCTTGTACCTTTTGCATCATGTATGTCGCTACTATAATCTTCGTTTGCCTTGTTCAGTAGACTGCAAGATCCTTGATTGGCAAGGATGATGTCTTCCACACTCACTATTTTATTTTTAGCACACAGTCCAGGGTCCAACATAGTATTTGCTGACTTGTTGAATGAATGGAACTTTTCCCATGGCAGTGTATGTTCTTTGAAAATATTAGTCTTCGTGGATTTATAACAACCCATGTAACATGATTCATTTTGCCTTTGTGTTTGCAAAGCTGGACTTAGCCATATCTTAAGACTTTGAATTGATTGCTGTTCCTGCAGTAATATCACACTACTTTTCTGGATAATCCGTTTTCATTTGCATTTATGACTAGAAGAAAGCAGTTTTAGTGAAAATGAAAAACAGCATATTTATATTTGCATTAGAGTTTATTTTCCTGAATTCACCTTGAATCTGGTGTTCGGGTATTTTATATGACTTTAACTTTAATGAAGACTTAACGTGTTGAGATCTAGATAAACTCTTTATCTTCCATATTCTGTCTTCCAGTCTATAATACTTACCTGTTGCAAACTAAATATCTCTAATCTATTTTTTAAAATCTTGTATTTATTTCATTATATCATGTAAGTTTAGAATCTCTCTTTTTCAATAGATGAGCCTGTTGTCTCACCTCCATTTATTGAATAGTCCGTTTTTTTCTAACTGATTATGGATGGCACATATACATAAATACTTGTATTTTTGGGTTCTTTTTTCCCCCTTTAATTTTTCTGTCAGTCTAGCACTAGTACCACATGGTTTTTAATTAGAGAAGCCTTATAAAACTTTTAGCTTTTAATAAAGCAAGCCTTCTGTTGTTGCTAGTTTTTCAAAATGGTCTTAGTTCTAGTTCATTTTTTAAAACGGTGATTAAAAAACACATAACATGAAATTTACCAAATTTTAAAATGTACATTACAGTATTGTTAACTATATGTACAATGCTGTTAGTAGAAATCTGCATGACTGAAACTCTATACGCATTGAATGGCAACTTCCCATTTCCCTCTCTTCTGGCCCATCAACCATCATTTTACTTTCTGCTTCTGTGAATTTGACTACCTTAGATATCTCATATAAATGAGAACGTACAATATTTGTCCTTTTGTGACTGGCTTATATCACGAATAATGTCCTCAAGGTTCATCCATGTTGTAGCACATAGCATGATTTTCTTCTTTTAACACCGAATAATATTCCATTCTATGTTTATCCCATGTTATCTTTATCCGTTCATCTTTTAATGGACATTTAGGGTTTTTTTAATCTCTTGGCTATTTTGAATAATGCTGAAGTGAACATAGGAGTGCAAATCTCTCTTCTAGGATGCTGATTTAATTTTCTTTTGGCTAAATATCCAGCAGTGGGATTGTTGGATCTTATGGTAGTTCTATTTTTAATTTTATGAGGAACCTCCACAGTGTTTTCCATAGTGTCTTCACCATTTTACATTCCCACAGCAGTGCTTAGGAGTTTCAGTTTCTCCATATTCTTGCCAACACTTGGTATTTTCTGTACATGGTAGACTCATGTGCAGCCATATAAACAATTACATTAAATATTAATGGTTAAACATTGCAATTGAAAGGCAGAGAGTTTCAGAATTGATGAAAACACAAGGCCCACTTAGGTGCTGTCTTTAAGAGATGTACTTTAAGACACAGGTAGCTTGAAAATAAATTGATTGAAATAGATATACAAACAGTAAATATAAGAAAGAGATTTGCTATATCAGATTACAAAATAAAATGTATTACTTGAGAGTACCAGGACACTTTTCTAATGCTAAAAGGGTCAAGTGAACTCCGTGATATAACAGTTATGAATATGTATGCGTGCAGTAAGAGAATCGAAAGAGAAAATAGACAATCCCACTACCATATTGGGAGACTTGATTAAAATTCTTTTCAGCAATTGATAAACCAGCTAGATAAAAAAAATCAACAAAGTTACAGAATAACACTATTAATCATCTTGATATAACTGATATTTACATAATACTAACCCAAAAGTGGCAGAATACACATTGCTTTCAGATGTACGTGAGACATTCACCAGGAAGATCATATTTTTTTCTCATTTGACATGCCTCAAATAAATGCTACAAGGAACTTTAGGCCGTATGTAAAACGCCTTGGGACTAATTCCACCTTGGAGGAAGGGAGGGAGGGGGTGTGTGTGTGTGTTGTCCTGGAGTAGACTTTGTGTATATTTCATGTTATAAAAAGGAACTATTTGACTTGTTTACTGCCCTCTATTAGTGAGAATCTTTACCTGCTTTCCAGGGAAGAATGGACAGAAGCTATTCAGGCTGTCGCGGACAGACTTCAGAGGCAAGAAGAGGAAAGAATGAATTGCAGTCCAACTTCACAAATTGATAATATTGGGGAGGAAGAGATGGATGCTTCTACCACCCACCATAAAAGAAAGGTAGAAAATGATGACTTATTCCCCCACTCAGCACATTCATGTGCATGAGAGAAATACGTTAAAAACAGCACTGAGCGAAGAATGTCAGCCTGTTATCGCATGTGGGTGTGGCTGGTTTTCATTCAGGTGAATCCGAAATACCTTTGTCGTTTAAAACCAAGTAAATGAAACAAACAGCACTTTGTTTCAGTGGTTCGGCACTTAGCACCGACCGCTGGTAGGCCTGCTGGGGAGTTGCCACTGATGAGCTACTTTGTGACCCGCCTTTTCCCTAATTGTTTTAAACAGCATCTTAGAGACGTGGAAATAAAGCGTTTTTCCTAATGACCTGGTCCTTTCCTCTTTGGCGTTCTAACACCAGCGCAGAAAGCTCTGGGGCGCTCCCTGCCCGCGGCGGCTCAGCCCCATGTCAGCAGCAACGTGAACAGGCTTGGAAATAATAGTTTTTTTTATTTCAGTGGAACCTCATGAGCCACTCAGGGAAACAGACTTTCCTTCCCTCAGTGCTCCCAATAATAAGTGCCAATTTATATGTTCATGGGAATTGTAAATTATGCTTCTCGTTGCTGTAGGAAATTGAAAAGCAACTTCCTTATAAAAAAATGGTATTTTAAGATTAAACATATAGATGTTCAAAATAGATGAATATGTCATATAATAGAGTATAAATTCATCTTCAGGTAAGAAAACTCTCATTTTTAAGGAAATTATCCACGTAGCCTGACCGGGAATCGAACCTGCCACCTTTTGGTGTTTGGGACGACACTCCAGCCAACTGAGCCTCCCGGCCAGGGCTTGCTTAATTTTTAAATGACCAGTATAGGACTCCGGGGGCAGCTGGTTCAGGTATCAAGTATAAGCCATACCTCCAATCTTCCCATGACGCCTGACTTCAGTTCTTGGAATTTTATCACCTAACGCCCGGCGCAGTAGCTCAGAGCTGTGGTTGGCATTTGGAGAGTGAGATGAGATGGTGGGACCTGCTGAGACCCTGCGATCTCGCACCGCCCGGCCTAGTCAGCGTGGCAGAAAGGGATCAGATTCGAGCTTTCCCCGCCCTTGCCGGAGACGACCAGGGCAAGTGGCAGAGGTGTGGGCAGGGAGGTGGATTCTCCAGAGCCCCCCTTTCAACTCAGTGTCCCACAGGCTTTGTTTGGTCCAGTTCTTCCACCTTAAATGGCTGTGGAATTGATCTGTTTTGGCCAAATTTACTAAAACCTCTGTATTCTTTTCTGAGCAATTCCTTGTGCTCCTCTTCAATTATATATTCATATTTAACTTAATTTTTGAACTAGACAGTCTTTTTCTTATATTCTAGTGTCTGTGATTTGAATACACTTATTAGTAAGCATTTGTCACGTACGCACATGCATGTCTTAGCCTAAAGCAGTCACGCTGATATGCTAGAGTTTATGTAAAGGGAAGAGTGTAACTATGTAAAATACATACCTAATAAATGGTTAGGATTGGATTTGGGGGGATTGATTTTTCTGGAGAGTAACCATGCTTTCATGTTTTATTAAAATCTTACTGTATCTTTTTCCTTAATACCATCCAAAAGAGGAAAACATTTTGTAATAGGTTACATTTCGTTTGTAAAGACCAGATAATTTCTGTGTATACCACGCTGAACAGGACCATTTGGTATCAAAGATACTTTTAAAACGTTCTGAAGTTTTGTCAAAATAGATACGAAATCTGTTTCTGATTTTATCACATGAATGCTTTTTAACTAATATCAATTTCCATGCAAATCCCTTTTTTTTTTTTTTTTAAGATTGACAGAAACTGACAGAAGCTGTGAAATTCGGAGTTAAGGCTGTCATATTTTCAAAACTCTCCTTGTCCCTAAGCATCACAGTCCTAAAGGAATATAGCAGTACTTTATAATTATAGATTACTTTTCATCTGAAAGTGTCATTAAGCGGTTTATAAATTCTCCTTTGATTTTTACCCCTAAGAATTCAGCTTCAGTGCATATGATACTGAGTGAGAGGACACAGCAAGTCTCACTTCCCAGTGCTTTTAGCGTCAAAGCAATGAGAGGGTACTGCTCACATGAAGTTTTAAGCAATAAAGTGGCCTATTTATAAGGATGATGTTTCTCCTTATTGCATAGAACAAACTAGCCGAGTTTGATGTCTTAAAACAATAACAGTAGGTTCTCATGACTTCATGGTTTGCTTGGGCAGCTCTGCTGGCCTCAAATGCGTCTCCCAAGCAGCTGCGGTCAGCGGGCATGTGCGCTGGGCTGGAAAATGCCGGGAGGCCTTTCCCTCGCGCCCGGGTTCTTGGTTCCCCTCATGGGATCTCTCCGCACGGTCCCCTCGGCAGCAAACGGCTGCACTGTCCCCAGCATGGGAGCCGGCTTCCCAGACTGGCTCTCCTAGGAGGCAGGAAGCAGAGGCTGACAGTGTCGCTTTGATCCTACCCTGTGACAAAGCAGGACACAGGGCAGCCAGGAAGGGGAAGGCTGACCCCACCTCTTAACTGGAAGGAGCGGCCTGTGCGTACAGGCGGGGGGCAGCCAGTGGCACCCGTCTTCCAGACTCCTCAGCACAAATAGCTTTGTATTTTGCAGTGTTCCTTGATTTTTTAACTCTATTAATGAAAATGAAATTAACCGTATTTGTTCAGATGACACTGGCTTTGTTAACTATCTTCTGGATACTTAGCCTCACTTATTTGATTTTAGTTGAATTAATAAATGTACTTTTTTATTCCCCTGATGTCTTCTGCTGCTTTTCTTTTGGACCAGAGATATTATTGAATGGTGGACACATTATAACTTGACATTTGGAGAAATTATAGGCAGCAAAGAATGTTGAAAACGAACATAGGCATTCATTTGCGAAGTTTTTAGAATTTTTTACATTTACATGAAGGCTATTGATTGGTTTTGTAGGAGTTTATACAGAATTGGTATTAGTTCTTTCTTAAATGTTTATATCATTCACCAGCAAACCCATCTGGTCCTGGAGTTTTCCTTGACTGATCATTTGAGTAGCGGAGGAATTGTAGGCTCAAGATTATTGTCTCCAGTATCTGAGAATTGCTTCAGTGGTTTCCAGCCTCCATGATTGCTGATGAGACAGTCAATGCCAGTTTGATGTTTACTCATTTAACAGTGCTTAGAGATTGGTATAATTTGCTTCTCAGTGGCTGTTGCAAGTGTGTACATAGATGTTTACAGTTAAATTGCATCGAATCTTTCATATATTTTTTAATTTGTATTTTTCAGACAATGAATGACTTTGACTATTTGAAACTACTAGGTAAAGGCACTTTTGGGAAAGTTATTTTGGTTCGAGAGAAGGCCAGTGGGAAGTATTACGCTATGAAGATTCTGAAGAAAGAAGTTATTATTGCAAAGGTAACTGAAATTTTTGTTTACACTGTACACACGTGTGTGTGCTCATGTATACACGTAATTAGTGTAGAAATTCCATTAAATAACCAAAATGTTGATTGTAGGCTACTGCTACAATACCTGTATATTAACTTTTAGAATATTAAAACTTTTAAAAGACAAGAGTATTATGTTGCATGGAATATGTAAAGGCCTCGGCATCATACCTGGCACGTATTCCAGTTAAACTGATGTTTTCTTATAGGCTCTGCTGCTTACTAAATGGTCCCAAACAAATTAGCTTCTTTTGCCTTGGTTTCCTCCCCTGAAAAATGAGAGTACTAATAGTGTCCGCCTCCTAGGGTTGTCAGGATCCAGTGAATGAAGAAAGAAGGGGAATAGCATTGGCCATGACACAAATATCGCTTTTCTCCCTACACTTTTGCCCACTGTTCGACATCTGTCGGTGGGTCTTGTCCACAGCAGCTATCACCGTGGTCTGCTAGGGACGGATTTCTACTCCCTCATTCTCTGTACATTGATTCGTACTCACACCAGCTAAAGGTTTCTCAATTTTGTTAATCTTTTCAAAGAACCGAGTTTTGGTTTCACTGATTTTCTTTACTCTGTATTTTATTTATCTCTGCTCAGATCTTTATTATTTTCTCCTTCCCACTGGCATTAGGGTTTGTTTGTTCTTTTCTAGTTCCTTAAGTTGTGAAGTTAGTTGTGGATTGGAGGTCTTTTTAAAAAAAATCCTCACCCAAGGATATATGTTGTTTTTTTAAATTTTTTAAAATATATCTTTATTGATTTCAGAGAGAGGAAAGGAGAGGGGGAGAGAGAGATAGAAACATCAATGATGAGAAAGTCATTGATTGAGCCCGCAACCCGGGCATGTGCCCCGACCGGGAATCGAACCCCAATCGCCTGGATCCCAGGTCGATGCTCAGCCGCTGAGCCATGCCCGGCCAGGCATATGTTGTCTTTTTTAAAATTTATGTGAGAGAGAGAGAGGGAGGAACCTCACCATGTGCACTGTGCTCCGAGCCATTGTCTGAATGCAGCTGCCAAGGGCACGAGCCCCTAGGGGACAAGAAGAGGTCTGAGGACAGTCCTGGGGGCACTCGGAGAATGAGGGTTCGGCTCCCTTTCTGAGTAGGAAGTAAGATGACAGTTTGAAAGTGTGAGGGAGCGAGGCTGGGACAGAGGGACCCTTGACATCAGAGAACCGGGCTGCAGTCCCGCCCGGTGGCTCACCGGGAGGGCCGCTTGTGGCGCGGGGCCTGCCACCAGGCCCGGGAAAGCCTTGCCACCCCCCGGACCGGGCACGGTGGGAGCCCTGGGCCCCCCAGCCTGTCGCTAAGCGCACCCCAAGAGGAGCAGCAGGAAGCCCCGGCGACCCAGCTCCCCTTCCAGGATGTCCCCCTGAGTTGCAATACAGCGAAATAAAAGGAGGGTGTCCCGCGGCGTCATCCACAGTAAGCACATATTTGAAAGGTGTCTGTTTTGGCGACTCTTGTACCATGAATGATATACTTTGACTCAGCAGGACTGCATCTGGATGAATTTGTACCTTACGGCCCTCTGATGGAGGCCGTCGTGAAGCTGATCGCTTGCTCGCTCTTTTTTTTCTTGGGGGCGGACTGTAGCAGAAGCTCAGCAGTAAAGGGAGCAGGCGTGTCACTGTGCTGTCAGATCTTTTCCGTCTCCAGGTTTTGCCTCTCTGGTCTTAGGGAAACGGTGACGTTTTTATCTTATTGGCGCCCAGAGCACGTATTAAAGGTTTTTCTCCCCCTGCAGGATGAGGTGGCGCACACTCTCACAGAAAGCAGGGTCCTGAAGAACACCAGACACCCCTTCCTAACAGTAAGTGACTAGAGGACAGATGTTACCGTCAGCATTCGAAATTTAAGGGAGCGTTACAGAACTCAGCTAAGCAAAATAACATTTTAAATAACATTCATGTAGGCATGCCATTTTCCGTGTTGAAAGACTGTAAGTCAGGTTTCTTGGAAATTATCAGAATGTATGGATTAAACTTGCAGTAGGCACCTACTACTTTTATGAGACTCTTTTTTCTTCCCCCATGAATTGCCTACCTTTAATAAAAAAAAAATTCATACAGGAAATAAATCACCTATGGCATTTTAAGGAGTCCACTGAGAAAAGAGTGGACTTAAAAAGCGTCTACGAAAAAGAGTAGTAGTAAATGTAAGGATTTTATGTTTCTTTTGTTTATTGGCTTCTAATAAGTATAGAAATGATCGGGCAGCATTGTCTTCAAATATGAAAGGCAGAAATCTTTCCTGAACATTTTTTGTGCAAATTGAAACTTCTTTCAGTTTAAGAAATGCAGGAACACTGAATACATTAAATTAAAGATCAGATAAATCATGATTATTTCTTCACTAGATCAAGTACAAACTGTGACTGACTTAGTTGTTATGAAACAAACTGACTTTTTTTAGGCCGGTTCCTTGATTGATTGTAATTGAAGCATAATTTGCAGAGTTTCTGTATAGGGCTGGTTTCAACGAAGCAGATTAAGATAAAAAATAACAGGTAGACTTTCAAAAGGAGCAACCTTTTGAAGATGTACAATGACCTAAAAACTAGGAATTTTCAGAGTTATCACCAGATGTCTGGATTTAATGTTGTTATATTGTGTGTTGTTTGGCTGTATTAAGATAGTATATTAAGATAGTTCTAAAGTTCTGGCATCGTTATAACCTATAAAATTACATGAACCAACTCCGTTGGATCGGGTTATGCAAAAAGTTACCCTATATGCAAAAAGTTACGTTGTAACTATGGTAGCCCCCCAGATATCACTACTGTACCTGTATTCCTTAGACTTCCACTAGAGCAGTTTGTGGGCCTCACTCTCAGGCCGCGCAGCAGGAACTTTGGGGAGCACACAGTCTGAAATGGATGGCCCAATAGGGGGGGAAGCGCGCATCGCAATTTCTAAGTTAATGTTTGCTTAAAATTTTAATTTTTCCCTGGCAGTATACCCATTGCGGACCTAAGCATAACTTGTTTTCTGTCTCTCATAAACCTTTACTTGAGCACTCTTACGAAGAACATAGACGCGAAGGGAATGATAAGAGTTCAGCTCCTCAGTCACGCCTGCTGTTGCTAAGTGCTCTGTTTTGGTCCCGTTGTAACAATGTAGGATTATAATACAACATTTTTTTTCTTTTTCATTTCAAGTCATTGAAATACTCCTTCCAGACAAAAGACCGTTTGTGTTTTGTGATGGAATATGTCAATGGGGGCGAGGTGAGTCACCAGCGCACCGGCGCTTGCTCTGCATGGCCACGCTGTCGGTCGTTTAACACGTTATTTAAAATATAACGTATAGTATCACGGTTCTCTGCTTCTTGGTAGGGATTCGAGTAGCTCTCTCTGCTTTTAAGTAGATGGGAGCCGAGTAACCCCTAATGAAATGTAATGCTTGTTTATTTTTTTTAATAACTACTCTTATATATTGGCAAGCGTAATCGTGTTCTACTCTCTTCTGTATTTTTCAAGTGTAAAAACCTTCACCCAAAGTAAAAATCACGAAATCATCTAATTTTGAAAATTAGACTTCTTAAGTTTTGGTGAAACTTGTAGAAAATTAGTATTTTACTCGTTCTAAACTCAGTCGAGCAGTAGTCCATAGGCACGAGGTCACTGAGGTTTCTCTTCTGCGTAGTAGTCAGAGTAACCTTTAGGAGTTTCACCTGTTCCTTTAGTCCTCATAGTACCTCCTCCCTATTTTGATCAAAATCAGCGTGATGGGAAAATACGGTTTACTGGAATAGTTAATTGGAAATATTTTGCATTGTGGGTTTTCTGAAGTAAATTTAAATTCAACAAACAGGGTCTTGTTTCTCATGGACTTCAAAAGTCTTATTTTCCAAAATAAATCAAATATGCTGCATAGAATATTTTCTCCTGTAAAACTATCTGCCTGGTAAGGAATTAGTTCGTTGCAAAAAGTCATTTTGTCACTCAGCGAACGTGTTTGCAATGTGAGGGCAGTGTGGAGTCATCACAGTGTCCTAAGACACCCTTTCTAGGAACGAGCCCCCTGGACTCTGAGCTCCCCAAGGGGCTTGTTCGTCAGTGTAACCCCAGCACTTTCACACGCGACCTGGCACATAGTAGGAAGCTGGCAGATATTTATTGGATGACTTGAGGGCATAAATAAGTGGATGGATGAACACATGTCCTCAGGGAACAGGGGTGGCAGAAGCTGACAAAAGTGGTAAAGCAGGAACTTCTAAGAAGTAGGAAGAAGAAAGGAAAGTAATGGACCATGTAGTTTATTTTTGAAAAAAAAGTTGAAAATGTTTTCTTCAGGAGGGGGTATCTAGGAGTGTATTTATAAAATACATATTCGTTGAATCTGTGCAAGGCACTTTGGTGGATATTTTGGGGCCTACAAATCTGCATTAAACATAGCTCTTACCCTGAAAGAGTTTATAGTCTAGATGGGAAGGTAAGGTACAAAGTTTACACTAAGTAGAAAGTGACAGTTTTCACTTGTGATCAGACGTGCAGATTAATGGCCATGGGGCTGTGCAGGAGCGAAAGAAGAATTTGGGGTGGTGAGTGAAGGGAGGCTTCCTAGCGGGAGCTGGCTAGCTGGCACCTGTACTTTTATTCTACACCTAGAGTACTTACGAGATTAATTAATTGAAGACTGTTGAAAAAAATTTCACACACAAAAGCAGGTTTTCAGACTGGCCAGATGGTTTTCTTTAGCGTGGAAACTCTTATGTTATCTCTCTTGTTTGGTATTTCTTCTTTGGAATGTATTATAAAGACTGGATTATTTAATGTGTTGAAGCAGGTGAACCGGTACAAGGTCTGCACCTGGGCTGAGTGCAGAGTGTAGGGCTGGCCTGGAGCTCAGCAGAACAAGGTCATGAGAGTGGGTTCCGGGCAACCTCACTCATAGCTGTATTTCTTGTAGGCCTATAAATTGGACTCTGTGAGTCTCTCAAGGCTGAAACCTGGAAGTTAAGAGACTCATTAGGGGGTAAAGGAAAATCATTGTGTGGAAATGTTATTCACCTGATAAATTACTCACGCCTTCTATCTTCTGAGGGCACAAATGATCCTAACACTGTCTCTTATTTACTATTCTTGTCCGTATTTAGCTCATTTGACACTATATATTAATTTATTTGATAAAAATGCATTTTATTTTTTGCATGTGACTTTCAGTTTCATGCCAATCCTGAGATCCTCTCATACTCATTTCAGATTCTCATTATTTGGCTGGCATTTGGTCTTCAGTGCACCAAAATCATCTCGTTTTAAATTTACATAAGGCAGAAGTGCTGGCAGTCGGCATTCTAGTTCTAGTTACTAATTTATGGAGGTGTGATTTGGGTGGTTTTTGAATTAAAAGTATTTCATATTCATAGTGATGATTTTTTATGTTTTACTAAATTTATAGATATATAAATAACTTTATTGTCAGGAGTCTGACAAGCTAAATTTTTTTGCCAGCTATTTTAGTTATTATACTGTATAGGTTATATCAGAATTCCATTTCTTTTACCCAAAGCTTTTTCAAAAATTCCCAAGTCAGGAATGCATTATAATATTCACATTATCATATAAAGTTCGAGGCAAAATAAACTTGGGAATATTTTTACTGTATACTTTCATTATATTAAACGGCTAGTTGCCTAAAATAAATCATTAAACCGAAATGTCAATGCATGTAGAGTAATAATGCAATGACGTAAGCAGCCGCAACATCTAAGATGCTGATTTTTATTGCAGAATGTCAGATAAGGGGAGCGGAACTGCAGGAACTAACTAGGCATTGGTCTAGTTCCATCATTCCTCTCCGTGTGGCTATGGCCCAGCAGGGGACTCTCAGGGCAGTGAGACTTCTCACACAAAGGCTGGATTGCCCCAGAGGGAGCATTTCAGGAGATTGAACACAGAAGATACAATATAGTATAATTGGGGACCAAGAAGAGAAAAGGCAGGACAGTGGAACAGAACGTATTTAAATCTTAGAAACTACAATCCCAAACAGTTTGTAGTCATTTGTGTTCTTTGTCTTTCACTAGCATAGAGCTTTGAAAACTCATGAATATTGTTGTGTACATCCGTAGTTTGTTTCTTTTTGTGACTTTACCGCATTATATGGATATATCTTCATGTGTGTAAACAATCACTAGTAGATAGACATTTGGATCCTTTGAACTGAGCTATACGAAGAAAGCACCTGCAAATATTCCAGTACAAACCTTTGTGTGAACATACATTTGCAGTTATCTTAGGTAGATACCTAGGAGTGCAATTTCTGTGTCATTTGGTATCTTCCACTTCAAAAGACACTGTCAACTTGTCATCTCGTTTTATAGTTCCAGAATGTTACTTAGGATCGTTGTCACCCTTGGAATGGTTAGCTTTTTAAAACTTTACCCATTCCAGTGGGTGTGTAGTGGTATATAATAGTTTTATTCTGAATTTCCTGAATGACTAGTGATACTGAACATCTTTTTCTGTGCTGACTTTCTATTTGCATATCTTCATTATTGAAGGATCTGTTAAAATCTTTTGTCCATTTCTTAATTGGGTTGTCCTCTTAATGTTGAGTAGTTAGACTTCTTTATATATTCTGGATACAAGTGCTTTATTATATATATGTTTTACAAATACTTTCTCCCAATCTGTGGTGGCCTTTTCATCTTTTAATGGGGAATATTTTTCCTGTGCATATTTTTGAACTACGTTATTAAAATATGGCATTTTTATGTTTATATCTCATGTCCATTTCCTGTTCTTTCTGGAACTTACTTCAAAAACTAAGTGTAAATTTACATTACTTTGCGTTAATTTTTCTGTGTGAAATGCATGGAAACTGAGTTCAGCTTGTGAAAAGAATAGACATTATCTGGACCATGAGTAATATGAATTTCCTGCTAAATGTAAGAATATGTTTGTTTGATCTTACAAAAGTAAGTATTTAAACGTTCAGTTTATACTGTAACTAATATTATTCCAATTGTGTAGTATAGTATTTGCTAGAGACTGAATATTTGTTTCCTCCCCAGAACTCTTACGTTGAAAGCTAATCCCCAATATGATACCACTTGGAAGTGGGGCCTTTGGGAGGCGATTAGGTCAGGAGGGTGGAGCCCTCGTGAATGGGATTAGTGCCCTTGGGAAAGAACTCAGCGTTTGCTGTCCCTTCCCCACTTGACACAGCAAAAAGACAGTCAGCTGTGATCCCAGAAGCAGGCTCTCACCGGACACCAGTCTGCCAGTGCATTGATCTTGGACTTCCCAGCCTCCAGGACTGTGAGAAGTACATTTTTATTGCTTATAAGCCATTCAGTCTATGGGGTTTTTTTATAGCAGCCAGAACGGACTAAGACAGTGCTGTTGATTACTTTCCCTGGGGGTGAGCTAAAGCCGTTCTTTTTCATCTTGGGTCTTTTTGTCAACCCAAGGGGTATGTTAAGCAGCGTCATTTCGCAGACTGCCAAGTCTTACTGCTTAGTTAATTAGTTGTCTTTAGGATACCCAGGTTCCAATTTCAGTTAATATTATGATAATGAATGTAATCGTGGAAATTAATGAGACTTGTATTGAGCATATTTTGTTACTCTCTAGCTAACCAGTCTTTTACTATTACAAAGGAGTAACTAACTGTGTGGGCAGTATTTGCAAGGACAAAAAGATACTTGCGTTTAAAATCTAAGGCTGCAGTGATAATTCTCCGGATATTTTTAAAGTCCAGATCTCTATTTTGGGGGAAGTTTGTTGCATTAAGAATATAACTCTTTTTTTTTCAAAATATAGCAATTGTCAAAATCAGCATTCTGGGTTTGTGATGAAATATAGACTTGTATATTTATTAGGTTAAAATAATCTACATTACTGTATTTCTACAGTATGGCTAAGCTCAACATTAAAAAAAAGTAGTCTTTGCCTAAAGAAACTTAAATTTCTAAAGATAAGCTCCTTGCTTGAGCAGCAAGTAACTTATTTTTAAGTGAAAACAAGGTTATTCGGTTATTGTATATGATTTTTTGAACTTTCTAATAAAAACACTGTACCTTCAAAACCTTAAGCCTTATTTTCTTCATAAATAATTCTTTGGAAAGTGGTTTTGAATATCATTTTATTCTTCGCAATACATATTTATTAAGCACATAATATGTGCCTCATATTAGGCTTGGTGCTGAGGAAGCAAAGCTGTGGACCACTCGCATGGTTTTTATCTTTTTCCTGGGCCTCTGCTGAACAAAAAAATCAGG